CGGCAATGTTTTTTTTGTGACCAATTTTCTCCAATATTTTCATGTTTTCATAATTCCAATAATTAAATACAATTATAAATCCGTTAATAGTGTAAAGGTGCCCATAATGCGACCGTACAGTAGAAACGGTCGCACGCCTTCCATACACTGTACGATTCTCGTACGATCGCGGGACTTCCCGCGATTCTCGTACGAGAATCGTACAGTGTATGGGCACCTTTAGTGAAGCCAGGAAGGGAGGCGGTTCTGGCCAAATCCATATTAAGATACCCAACAAGCAGGGGTGTCCCTAGCATCATGGCCACCTGGGGCGGATGGGGCAGAAGGGGGGGTGCTGGTGGTCATGTCCTGGGGGGGGAAGGGGTTGTTTTGTGGGGGTTGTGGTTTGTGATGGGGTTTCCGGTGGCGCACCACCCAGCTCTGGCCATTGTCCTGCCCAGTTCACTGACGTCACTGGTTGCCAGGAGAAGGGCGGGACGCCGGCCAGAGTGTCCCTCTCAGCTCCTGGCAAGCTGTGACGTCACTGGTTGCCAAGAGCCGGACTGGATGCTGGCCAGAGCATCCTGCTCAGCCCCTGGCAATGAGTGACATCATTGGTTGCCAAGAGGAGGGCGGGACGCCGGCCAGAGCATCCCCCTCAGCTCCTGGCAACCAGTGACGTCACTGGTTGCCAGGCACTTGGTGGGACACCAGCCAGAGCGTCACAGGTTGCCAAGAGCCGGACGGATGCTGGCCAGAGCATCCTACTCAGCTCCTGGCAATGAGTGACATCATTGGTTGCCAAGAGGAGGGCGGGACGCAGGCCAGAGCATCCCTCTCAGCTCCTGGCAACCAGTGACGTCACTGGTTGCCAGGCACTTGGTGGGACACCAGCCAGAGCGTCACAGGTTGCCAAGAGCCGGACAGGATGCTGGCCAGAGCATCCTGCTCAGCTCTTGGCAATGAGTGACATCATTGGTTGCCAAGAGGAGGGCGGGACGCAGGCCAGAGCATCCCTCTCAGCTCCTGGCAACCAGTGACGTCACTGGTTGCCAGGCACTTGGTGGGAGAGTCCCAGGTTGCCAAGCCCTGGAAGGGGGACGTGTATGGTCCTTACACATCTCCCCGCCAGGCTCATAGCAACCTGGGACTCTCTGGCTGGAAAAGGGGCCGCAACCCAAAGAGATGCCGCCTGAGGCAACAGCCTCGGGCCGCCTCATCACAGGCACGGCGCTGCCAATCAGCTCATATCGGTGGTCGGGTGTCCACAAACATTTGGCCCGCCTAGTGTAAAAGAAAGAGTTCAGAGCGGCCCTTACTGAGCTTCAGCTGGTTAATCCAACGTCTCCTCAGATCCTCCGTCGGGGCGAAGACATAGAGAGGTCCATCATCGTACACTATCTGAAAATAAAAGCAAAATAAGTGTTTACAAAAAATTCACCCCAAAATCAAGGCAAAAAAAGTGGTTGTTCAACAGCCAGAGGTCATTAAATAATAATCGTTTGTGTGTCATTTTAAAAAGGACAAATGATATAAAACAGGTTCAATTATTTTGATCTACAGTAACAGTAATTTAAAAACAAAACACTGATCAAAGAAGAAAAAAAATACATTTGTTTTTGTTCTATTCTTACGTTTTATATTTGCTGTAACAATAATTTTTTTAAAAGCAAATAAAAAAACTGATTAAAGTAGATAAAAATAATCTTGTTTTCATTTTGTTCAATTATTTTGATCTACAGTAATAATAATTTAAAAAAAAACACTGATCAAAGAAAAAAATACATTTGTTTTTGTTTTATTTTGTTTTATATTTGCTGTAACAATAATTTTTAAAAAAGCAAATAAAAAAAATTATTAAAGTAGATAACAAATAATCTTGTTTTTGTTTTATTCTTATGTTTTATAATTGCTGTATCAATAATAAAAAAAAAGAAAAAAAAACACTAAATCAAAGTAGAAAAAAATAAATTTGTTTTTGTTTTATTCTTGTTTTATATTTGCTGTACCAATAAAAAAAAAAGAAAAAACGAAAAAAAAAAACACTGGAAACACTGATCAAAGTAGAAACAAAATAATCTTTTTTGTTTTTTTCCTATGTTTTATATTTGCTGCATCAATAAAATGGGGGGAAAAAATTGATTAAAGTAGAAAAAAATAATCTTGTTTTCTTTTTTTTTTTATGTTTTATATTTGTTGTATCAATAATTTAAAAAAAGAAAAAAAAAACACTGATCAAAGTAGAAAAAAAAAATTTGTTTTTGTTTTATTCTTACGTTTTATATTTGCTTTGTGAATAATACAAAATTAAAATAAAAAAACACTGATCAAAGTGGAAAAAAATAAATTTGTTTTTGTTTTATTCTTACGTTTTATATTTGTTGTATCAATAATATAAAAAGAAAAAAAAGCATTGGTCAAAGTGGAAAAAAATAATAATTTTGGTGTCCTTTTAAAAAGGACAAATAATATAAAATGGTGCAATTATTTTTATCTACAGTAACAATAAATTAAAAATAAACAAACAAAAGTAGAAAAAAAGCCATTTTTTGTTGTTGTATGACATTTTGTTTTTGCTATAAACATAATAATAAAAAAACATTAATCAAAGCAGAAAAAGGTGCATTTTTTTGATTGAATACAATTATAAAATCATTTTTGTTAAATAATATCAGCAGAAAAAAAAATCCTTTGTTCTATAAAGAAAAAGAACCTGATATATGTATTTTTTTTTAATCTTAATTGAATGAGGAAAAAACAGGCGTGCAGCAGAAATGTAATCACCGCGCTGGCCCGTAGGGGGCGTACGGGGGGCCGAGGACTGATTTGGTTAAACAAATAATATGTTTTTTTCTTTTTCCGGCATCCCAGCAGACGTACAAAACGCCTTAATATGTAAAATCAGTGTCTGCCTTCCCCAAAAATAAAAGTGGTGACCGTGGTTTCAGTTTTATTCTTACATAGAAATACAAAAAAAAAAAGCTGGGTCAGATTTTTAAACCCCCATT